AAACATGACACCAACATATACTTGCCAAGTGTGCAGGCAGTCGCACCCAGAAGATACTCCTCCATGGATGATAAGGTGACGGCACAATGCTACACAAGCTTTTGATATCCTGATGACACTTCTGTTTCAGCATCCTGCCTCGGGCCAAACCACGCCTGCCTGTACCCGTTCGGGTAATGTTAGGCTTGGGTTTAGGGTTTAGGGTTTGAGGATTAGGGTTTAGGGCTTATTGGGTCATTTTAGGGGTTGTATTCGGGTAATATTAGGGGATGTATTGGGGTAATATTAGGGTTATATTGGTGTTTTAGTGCGGTTATATTGGGATAGTATTGGGGTTGCATTGGGCTATATAGGGATAATGAAAATCAAATGGAAGCTACCATTTAGGGTTACATTGGGGTTATATTGGGATACATATGGAGAGTGAACAATAAATTTGAAGCTTGTTTTACCACCCTTCCGCACCTTTTTGAGCTACTATTTAGGGTTTAGGTGTATGCTGCGCGAGGTTCAGAGTTTAGAGTCTGGGGTCTAAGGTTTATAGGGTGTAGGACATCGGGAGTGCGGATTAGGGTCAGGGTTGGATGCCGCCCTCACGCGTTTACAGTGGGTTTAGGAATTCTCTTTTAGGGTATCTGGCGAAAGTTTGGATTTTCCAACTGACAAGAACTGATGCAGTGTGCCAGGTTTAGGCGTTGGGGATGCGGGGATTCGTCGTTGCTCATCCAAAGGAGACAGTTCAGATCATCTTTTGCATCTCTTGTTCGGTCGCGAGCCAGCAAAAGCTTGGGGTTTCAAGCTTGCCCTTCAATTCCGTCAATTTGCATCTTTGCCGGGCTTGAAAACTTGACATAATTCCAGTCATTCCAATCCTTGCTGACTACGGCGAGACCATGCGAAACCCCAAACCCTGAACCCTAACAAGAATCGCCACAAACACATCCATATACCCAGACCCCTGGGAGGATCTAATAGTTGAACCCCCGATGTGGTACCCCATACTACTATTGGGCAATTTCTAGGAACCTTTAAGGGGGATCTATATGCTTTCTACATCCTCCCAGAAATCTGGGAAGGACATCTCAAGGTTCCGGGAAATGCCGGGATGTCGCGTTGAGGCTTCTGCGTAGCACTGCTAAAAATCGGGATCTCTAGATATATATATATATATACATAGATATACGTTATCTAGAGATAATGGAAGAGAAAATGGAAACTACTATAATGGGAGGTGTCCTGCCTACTTCAAAGACGGGATTGCTAGCGCTAAGCATGGAGTGAAGGAACGGGACAAAAAATGCAAGCAACTTTTTTCTTCAGGGTCTACGTCAGATTTAGGGAAGGAAATGAAACACAGGGATCATGGACTACCATCGGGATACATTCCTCCGGTCCCTACTAGCTGACCATCTATGTGTCATTGACAGGGAGGGAGTTAGTCATCCAAATTCTCTGTCTTTGTCTGGCTGAGGGTGTCTTGCTGTAACAATGGACACTGGAGGGGCCTCGCTTTCACGCAACTTCCCGCTAACAGGGGGAAGAATAGGAGGCAGTTTGGGGCAAGATTTACCGGGGATTAGTAGGAATATCTTCTATAGGGATGATATTCCCTTATTCCCTACCACCAGTGGGGTGATGCCCTCTAGCTCGCAACCAGAGGGAACCCCAAATTCCCAAAGGCTTTCCAAGCAAAGCCAACATATCATCAAACCTAAACCGTCTGTAGCCTCCATACCCCGTCCAAGCCCCTGAACGCGCATTCTTGGAGCTTTTGAGAGTATAGTCCCCTTAAGTAGATAGAATATGGGATATTTGGGGATCTTATAACATACCCACAGCAATATTCTATCTACTTAAGGGGGACTACGCGGACAAAACGAACCCTAGGAGCCCAGCCTTGTCAAAGTTGCGGAGTTCATCGCCTCTGTTGCCTGACCAAGACCTCAGGGTTTAGGGTTGGGGCTTCTAAGGTTAGGGTTTATTTGGGCAGGTTTGGGGGTCGCATAAACATTAGTTTACAACGCGGTAGAAGGATTATATAGGGATTAAAGGTAATAGAAAATCGAAAAAAATGTCGTCAAAACTAAGCCGTTTAGGGGGAGGCTCATGACGGAGGGCTACTTAGAACTGGGCCCTACATATAACTGGAGTATTGTAACCTACACATGTCCAGTTAGCTGGACTACAATGGTGTAAGGCTAGAAGCTAAATTAAAAGTTGTTTTATCAGTCCTGTTCCCAGGGACCTTCAAGTGGCCTCTGTTCCTTGAGGACAAAAAAGGGTCCTTTTTGTGGTCGCATAGGAAACTCACACCGTCAAAGAAACTGACCTTACTAACTAGAGGTACGGTCTACATGTGCGGGCTGCTCCAAGCAGAATTTACCTCACCTTGTCCAATTGTGGAGACGCACCACCCAACAAGGTGCGCATGTCCCAACATATACTGCTGCTTACATCCTGAGATTAATTAGTCGCTCCCCGGCCCACTCTCCTATACTTACTACCCCCTTTTGAGCCCTTACATTAGGCATAATTGGTAGATCCCATCAAATACTGTTCCACTGTACAGGAACCCCTTAGGCCCTCAGAAACCCCATGGGACCGAGGCAAGGACCATTCACACAGCACTCCATGAAGAGTGCCCTCTGTGAGCACTGGCCCCAGCCTGTCCCAAGGACACGGCAGAGTTTGGTAACCCAAGGTTTAGGACGTTATCATAGTCAGGTTATAATATCTATGGGATCCAATTTTGAGGGTTGGAGTCACCAAAATCGCCTTGTGACCAAGCATGTGCACCACCAGTTCACGCCCTGGAGGCCATACATACAAAGTTTTATTCCCCTCGCACCTACCTTCCGTAAGTGTGCCAGGTGGGCTGAATGTCCATGGTCAGCAGCCCGGGTTGCTCTTACGGAGCTGAATTTCATTCCGAGTTACCAGACATAAGGAAAGCATGTGATTTGCGGTACATAGCCACATGAATGGCAACTTACCTTTAGATCTTCAAGCCTCTTTTTAACCCCTGCAAAGCTCCCGTTCCCATTTCCTGTTCCATTTGGCTCTACATCCTAGAGGCGTCACAGCAACCCAGCAGCGGCATCTTTATGGGATTCTATGTGATTTGTGCCCACCTAGTCCCCGAAACCCTGAGCCCCATATGAGCTAATTATAGTCTAAGTTCCGTATCCCCCTTGACAATCCCTGTAATACTCCCCTAGGGTCCTCCATATCGCCCCTCTTGAAGGAGTTAAGACTACAGCTGATATAGGTGTAGGGCAAGTGCCGATGCTCAGAAAGGTAGCCCGAATTTGGGGAAACCCTAAAAAGTAATCCCTAAACCATTAATAACCATAGTTAAACCCTATATCACTCCTATGATCCATCTATAGGTCCCCAAATCTTAATCTCTAAACCCTATATAACCCTGTATAACGCCTATATCACTCCTATAATCTGTAGGTACAGAGCAAGGGGCCTATGCTTCTTATTGTAATATACCCTAAGCCAAACTTAAGGGGCACTATATGAGCTATAGTCGAAACTCCTAGTATCCCCCTTAATAATCCCTATAGTAGTCCCTATATACTCCCCTATATAACCCTCTCCCTAAGCCTAAGCCCTAAAAACCCTAAACCCTAAGGGGCCTATGCTTTTGCCCAACTTCCAAGCTCGGCAGCTGCGTTAGAAATGAGGAGCTAGACCTGGCAATTGTCAGAGCATCTTATGCTTATGTTGGGTTATGTAGGGTCATATTGGGGTTATATAGAGATAGTGGAAAGTAAGCTGGAAACTACTAATTTAGGGTTTAGTGTTTGGGGTTCAGGGCTCAGGGTTTGGGGCCGAGGGTTTAGGGCTTAGGGTTCAGGGTTCAGGGAGTTGGGTTTAAAAATGGAACCTTCCAATGATCCCCTAGTTCTCCAATGCAGTACTGGGGGTTATTTTGAGGTGGATCCATTTTGGGCACCCTTGCGGCAAGTAGGCACCCTAACCTTTGCGATCCAAAACCTGAAGTTCTGAACCTTCCAGCCAGACTTGAGATGCAGGCTGGCGAGTGGATCTTGTTTCCAATCAGTGTGTCGAACATTTGCTATGTCAAAAGCATCTAGCATGGTTTTGAACTGTGCTACAGATCTTTGTGGCTCTTCAAGCCGATCCCCCTCACCTGCCTGGTGGCCCCACCCACGTTGATGGCTTACCCCCAAAACAGGCCCGGTGATTCGGGCATAAGCTCGCTATGTCAGCATTCTGAGGAACAACGTCCGCAAATGTCCAGATCCTGAATTATACCAACGCTCCATCCTAGTTGCCCCTCTGAGACAGTTGGTCGCTCTGAGGGTGTGAGGGGTGATGAACTTCGTTTGCACCTCCTGTTTCCATGCCTATCAGGAAAAGAATATTACCTTACCTGCGGCCTCACGGAAAGCGAGGAGGGTTCACAGCAGCAGTCGAACCTCGTGTTCGCAAGTCAGTCGCTTGGCAGACAACTTTGCCTGGCGAGTGTGAGATAGACCGTGCAATGCGGTTTATCACGGCCTGCTCAACAACAATACCTGTCACATCCTGTCACTATCAAGGCATGTTGTAAGCAAAGAACGAACGGAGACCCTGCCGAAGGACAGTTTCCTGCATTACATACGCCACGAGTCATAATTTGTCAATTCACGGGCTGACTTCTCCATGTTAGCGTACAAGAACGCAATGAATCTACAGGAGGGCAACAGCATCCACTAGCCAGTTTTGTGGGCGCAGTACTTCCTCGGCTGCAGATCATAATTCTGTGCGCGCAGCTTATCCAACACAAAACTCCTCTGCAACGGGTCTTGAATTCAAAGCGTCTTGTTTAAACAAAAGAGTATCCTTCCCCAAGTTCCTATACATGGAAGATAACAGCGCCAAGGCTCTATCCGCTTAGTTCAGGTTCGGCTACGCCGTGCTTAGCTTGAAGCGCCCGCCTCTGACAGAGCTTCGAAGGTACTTGGCGCCAGCACATTCCTCGGTCGCCAGACTCCCAAAACCACGCAAAAGCGCACACATCTTGCGAATTGACATTCAACTTAAGACAACAAAAGAAGAACAATGGCTACACTCTGATGGGCCTAGGTTCAAACTCCTGACGTCCACGCATAAGTCGTCGTTCGGAGTCCTGCTCGCAGCTCACAATGAGCGTGGATGAGGGCTGTCAACTGCTTTTCTGACACAAGGTCGTTCGGAAAAAAAGATCGGCGCAGACCCGAGCTAAGGAAGCATCACGAAAGCCACCATATGACACGTCTGAAGGGCGGACAGAATGTGGAGGGGATGTGGTTACATTGAATCTCAATGCGCAACGTCGCACCATTGCACACGGCTGCTTCTCGCCAGCGGCAGGCTCTCTAGTAGAGTAAGCCTTAGTCATGCCAAAGGGTCAAGGTGTCATGGGTCATGTGGAAGTACTGTACTGCTAAACTTACTGGGGGTAAGTAATGAATAAGGAAATATAGTCTATAGGGGTTATATAGTGGTCTTATTCGCTTATTCCCTACTAACCCCCAGTAAGCAAATGCCGAAGCATGTACGTAACTTTTGAGGCCAGGTGCGACAAGATCAGGTTGCCAGGGAGGACGGTGAGGCTTCTGCCAAGGGCCTGCTGCTCTTGCTGTGGCAGCTCATACTTCCGCAGTTTTGTTGCTGACCATTGGCACAAACAGCACCAGTGTGAGTATAGTTGCTCTAATTGCGGTACGTTGGAGGACCCTGGAGTCAGACAGTTAGGAAATAGCTGTGATATCCCGCTACTAAGCCTACTCTAGTGCATAAAGAGTAGGTTTGCTATATCATGCACACCCCGTTAGTTTCTCTGATGTAGCTGTGATAACAGTAATGCTGCTACTAGAAGCGTCTACACCAAACACGTGTGAAATACCTTCCTGCTAAGCTCTTTTTGTGGGTTAGCTACTTTCGAGACCAAGCTACTGCTTGCCATGCTTCTCGCAGAACACCCTCAAACCTAAACCCTAAATCCTTAAACCCTAAATCCTAAACCTGAATCCCTGAAAGTGCGAGCCCCACCTCACAGTGGCGATGAGCAGCCGCAACCTGATCCAAAGCACTCAGGGAGGGCCCAGAACCAGGGCTAAAGGGTAGGGCTTGTCATGGAAACATGGGCGGACAGCAAAATTATGGTCCTTTTGGGGCACACGAAATATTAGAGCCCACCACAATTTTCACCTACTGCATATGGTATATACAGTATGTGGGCATTTTAGGGGCGTATACTGATGATCAAAACATATGACACACGTTTGGCGCCATTTGCCGCAGGTCTGTCGCCTCCTTTGGAACTCTTCATCCGAAATCTGTCAATCTTGTGAAGTGGTGGTAACCCTAAACCATAAAGCGTAAAAGCCCTAAACCCTAAAAATCCTAAGCCCTAAACAGTATACCTAGCATCTCAAAGGAATTGCCCATCCACAACACAGGCTCTCTCTCAACACGACGGACTTTGGAAGGACAGCATGAGGACAAAGAGTTTCTCGGCATGATACCTGTTCTATGTTGAACTTAGTGGTTCTAAGTAGGGAATCAGGGAACATGTTATGGAGGCTTTACGTTAGGGGGTGATGAGGAAATCTTTTATTTATATAGGGCTTATTGCCCCTTCTTCCCTAGAAAGACTCCATAGGTTGTATACCCTCACTGGGAAGTCCTTCTCTAAGTTGAACAGGTCGTCACCCTCATCAAGCTAAGTCTCAGGAAGGTATGTGCTCGTTGAGTCAGGCGGGGGCTGCAAGCCGTGCATGTACGAGAACTATCGAGGTATCATGTCTTAATGTAACCAGTATTCCCAAGAAGGTGGTCCCACATAGTTATACCCACGTAGCTCACATTGTGGGATGCCATCCTCACTAGTTTCACCTTGCTGGAAGTCTCTATGGCTATGGGCATACGGAACGCCTGGGCGAGGACATCCTGCCGCAGCTCGCCCGAACGCTGCACAGCGTCAGCAACGATCAGGATGTATTCGCAAGCCTCCCAACAATTCTATGAAAAGCGCCGGCGTGGCACCATCTCATACCATCTCAGCGAGTAAATGCTGACCTCATATTAAGAAACCTGCGTAATTCAACATCCAAGTTCCGGAGCGTAGTTGCAACACCCCTTATCACCCCTCTTCCGCCCTTCTGCATCCGCGCTCTGATCCGTCCTAAATTGCAGAAGCAAAATCCAACCTACCAACACACAACAGCTTGTAATGTTTCCTGTCACAGCTGGAGCTCCTGCTGATGAAAGGAACTGGACACCCCTAATGAGTGGGAGAGTTTCTTCATATGAAGTGGATAACCCTCCCTGACCTCCTGATTTCGTCCATTTCATCTCGGGGAGTCAGTGCTTAGGGGCAAAGGTCGGCGCAAGCAGGGTCCCCTGTGAACGCACCTTGCAACGCAAAGAATGCCCAGCGAAATCCCTCTGCAGCAAGACGCATACTGCTCCTGCCTCTCCTGCGAGGGTGGGTTCCTCAAGCAACTCGACGAAGCTGCTTGTTGTTGAGCCTTTGTGCTCGGGCTGTAAAATCATCCGCCTAAAACGGAAAGAAGAGCTGACGAACCAAATGCATGGCGATCATTGCGGGCTGTATGGGTAGTTTTTTGGTACGTCACTTCACGTGGCAAAAGTCGACACTGCTGCCAATGCTTCCCTCAGATCCAACCATGTGGGGTGATGTCACTTCCTTTGAGCTTTAAACAGCAGGGGCTGCATGATCATGAAGACGCAAGAATGTCAGAATGTAGCCGCTTCCTTTACGCCCGAAATAACAGCTACACAGAGCGCCCTGCGTTGGTGCAAATGCACTTGTTTGGTGAAGCCATTCGCCGCAAGGAAAGCCTGCACAACTGCTCTGTCTTCAGCATGCTGACGTCAGTGCAAGGCAGCAAACATCCTCAAGTATCCTGAACTCGAGCCGATCGAGATTCAGGGCAGTAAGCTCAAAATCTGGCGTTCGAGGGATCATCCTTCAAGTTCTGAAGTCCCCACATGCCGGCAACTATCACGGACCAAGGGTTTTACTTGGCCTGGCAATGCGTTTTCGATTTGCCGACTGTCTCGGATGGATCCCTTTTTTCTTCAGCATGCCATCCACCGCGCCTGTGCAATGAGACTATCCCTCAAGTGTTTGGATGTGTTGCTGCTGGGATATCCTGGCTTCCCTTGCACAGCAAGAAAGACAGGGGCTATCGGCAGACACGGGAAAGCCTGGGGACAGTCTTACATGAGTCCTATGAGCCCCTATGAGCCGGCGACAGAGGTGCGTCAGCATGCGTTACAGGTGTAGTTCCTGACCACAGGGCATATCCCAATCTAGGAACTCCTTGCAAGCATCCAAGATCAGACCTTGTTCTTTGGAAGCCACCGCATGCATGGCCTTGGCTGCAGTGGGCTCCCTGCAGCTGCCGACAAAGGTTGCCGGGGGGCGCATGTCCTGTCGACGTACACTCTGACAGGCTACGTAGTAGGATTGCCAAAGCCTGTAACAAGTCCTTTTGAGCCGATTTCCTAGATAAGCCACCATTTGGATGGGGTCCGGTGATGAGCAAAAGAGGCTATGCTGGGACATCAGCATACAGCTGTTTGGACTAATCCATGAAGAGGCCCTTTTACAAAACTGACAACATTCCCCCAAGAGCAGGGCGGGTTAGGGCAAGTAGCAGTTTGTGACAGTTTGTGTTGCCGATGAATATTGCCAGTCCCCCTGCAGAAGCCCCTTCACTCTCAGGCCAGGGTCTCAATGTCAACATCCTTGAAGGCCCCGGCCCACCCTGAACCCTGAACCCGATTCTAAACCACAGAACCTTGTCAAGGAGACCTTTGTCGGCTATAAGGCTCAGGTCAAGGTTCAGGGATTCAGGCTTCAAGCCACCGCTGCTCAGAAAGCTTCATACTTCTGGGCTGTCCCATGCTGTCAAACATTAACAACTTCGTATCTGCAAAGGGACTTTTCTGTTGGAATTAAAGGCATCAGACTAACCTGCACTTGCCATCCACAGCTGATGAATCTGCGGGAAGGTATTTGAACAAGGCTCTCATCCTTCCCCGCCCTCCAACAATAAAATGACCGACCCCTTTTCCGAACGTAGTGCCATCATACGATGCAGCGAACATCTAATGCTAGCGAGGTGGGGGTCTATCTCTGGGGCACAGGGTGGATAGCAGTCAGGAGCAACTCTCAATCAAACGCATAAACTTTCCGAAGCCAAGACGCCTACCTGGTGTTGAGTCGGGAATGAGGGAATGCATCCCTGTAGCAGTCCCTAAGCGATCCTCAGAGTAGTCCCTGCAATCCAGTCCCAAGTCTGTCATTCCCTACTAAGCAGCAGAAGATGGAACTCCAGTTTCTGCAGGTCCTGGGGCAGGCTTCGTGCAACAACTGGCAATGCGGCAGGAAGCGCCAATGTCGATGCATCCACAACCTGGATGATGGCACATCCCTACCAGATATTGAGCACCTTTATCACATATCTGAGCACCTCTAGCTGAAGGTGGGGGCTCTCTCAGAGTGTGGGGAAAGGGCTGGCGAAGAAAGGGGAACAGCAGAGCTTAAAGCTTAGGTCAAGAAAGCCAAAGAAAATGCTAGATTTCTACTATCAATTCGCCAGCAACGCAAAGTTCTCGGCCATGCTGGGGCATCACGCTTGCCGCCTGTTTCTTCAGACCTGGGTCAAACATGGTCCAAGTAGGGGAGGGGCTGCGGGGCAAAACTTTTCAACATGTTGCTCACTATTTGCATAACATGGGCATCATCACAAATAGATACAACCCAACAGTTGCGTGTTCTTCCGTCCATGGTCCACTGATAGGTTAATTCTTGGGAGCAAAAAGCATCTCCCCTTTTGGACCAGGGCGGCTTTAGCAGCAAACGGGGCTATCCCCTCCCCTCATAAAAACCCTCCCCCCACCACCTAATAAAACTATTCGCCCTCCTGTACAACAGAACTCTATTGGAGGTATTTATCCGTAGGGGAGGAGGAGGATTAATTTCGGCACAGGAAGAGGGCTCTCTGTGTGACATCTCAAAACGGAGAATTCCTCACATGACACCCAGCAAAGGGCACCGCATCCATTTGAGTGGCCGTCTTTGGTGGTTACACTAATTCATACTCCATCCCCCTCAAGAATGAGCCTAGCCAAAAGAAAGATACAATCTCCCTTAGTGCCTTAGTGGAGATTTTAGAGTACCCCCATGAAAAAGCCGAACAGCAGATCCCGCGAAAGGATTCCCAGCAGCTACCCAGTAATAGTACAGGATACGAGATTTTGGGATCTACTTTCTAGATCCTCCCAACCCGAAACCCTAAACTGTAAACTGTAAACCCTAGAAACCCTTAAAGGGGGCTCTGCCCTAAAACCTAAACCGTAGACTCATAACCCCTGGAGCCCTCAAGAAAGGTCTACTTTCTAGATCCTCACAACCCTAAAGCCTAAACTCTTGAAGTTACACCTACGAACCCCTAAGTGGGCTCTACTTAGACTCTACTTACTAGACTCGACCCTCCCAACCCTAAACCCTAAACCTGAAACTCAAAATTTTAAACACAAATCCTAAACCCTAAACCCTAAATCCTAAACCCTAAACCCTAAATCCTAAATCCTAAATCCTAAACCCTAAATCCTAAGCCCTAAACCAGGGGGTCTGGGTTTGGGCCGAGGCCAAAGCCATCCCAAAGATTCGTATCATTCAACCTGAGCTGTGCTTGGAGTCCTGCCTCAAACTAATCGGGTTAGGGTTTGGGTTCTAAAGCTCAGGGTTTAGGATCCAGAGTTTAGGGTTTAGATAGTTGGCTTACGGTTTACAATGTACACAAAACTTAGGGCTTCAGTTTTTTTTTGTAATGGGGGTGTGAGCTTGTCAACAGTATAAAACAACATCAAACCACAATCAAGCTGAACAAATGTCTTGAACATGGGCTCCGGAACCATTGAAGGTCTTCCGCTGTGAATCTGCTGCATGCATCCAGCATGGTTGCGGAGGCGGGATCCACTTTGCGGTCCTGTGGGTAGAAGGACTTTAGTTGGCACCCCCAACAGGGAACCCCAACAATATGGGTAGTTCCCACAATTAAGGTCACATTGTGGTACCCCTAAGTATTACGTGGCGTAATAATCTATACCCAGAAGGGGCCCATAATTTTTTGAACAACCCATATAGTAGGAATAGGCCATATTTCTTCCGCATCCTTACATGTTTGGGTTTCACTGCTTTGGGCTCCATTGGAGTCCTCCTTGTGGGAGCACCCAGAGAGGCCAAAGCAATAAAAGGCATAAGAATAAGAGCCATTGCGACATCACTCGCTAGAACAAGTTTGCACAATGCGGATAGCCAGGATCATGGCAAAGTTATTGATTGTTTGGTTGATTGAGTGGCTGGTTGATTGGAAAGGTTGCGTGGTGGTATCTTTGCTAGAACGGCCAGCGTGGCTTACATACCCATCTTTTGGGCTCTATACTATACTCAGGCGCGTACGACAAACAACGTAGAATCCTGAATAATTACCAACATTATGCCCACGTAGTCCTTACGGAGCTACATAAATACATAATCATAGTGCAATACACTCCAAACCCTTTCACAAATTCATAGGCCCGTATAGGACAGGTAGTTTTCTGAAGTAATGCTCCCAGCGCCTGCTCGGAAGCAGGGATACAAGGTTGGCACTCGATGCGGTCCTGCAACAACTGCCACTATTACCATCATTCGTAGTATGATTGATGGTAAGTCTTGTTAGTATTACTGTTAGGACCAGTTTTTACATGTGTAGGAGCAGCCCAATTATAGACAGATGGGGGGGAAGCTTAGGTTGGGGAGGTTGGGTTTATAAGAGGTCGAAAATCCTCGCTCCTCATGAAAGACCCTTAAAACCCCTGAACAACCCAACAAGCCCTCTAAATACATGTTGGGACTGTTTTCTATGCCGAACACCAGTGAAGTCGGGGCGCAGCCCTCAAAATTTTGCTATGTTATAAGCCTTATAGAGCTTCTGGTGAGTAGCAAAGGAAGGAGGAATCGATTAGTCAATCGATTCGCATACTAGTCCGTAACAACATCCCCTTACTGTAGGCACATTCCGCATTTTCCTTTGCTACTAACCACCAGTAAGTTCAGCAGTTAAAGAAACGAGGACCCTCTGGCAGGATTTACAAAGCAAATATGGGCGTCCCTACTCTGGTTTGCTTAGGGACGTCCTGAGAAGGTCTCCGAACAAACCTGGAAGAGCCTCAAGATCATCGAAACCTTTTCCCTTCAAGGATCTGGAGGTTTCCCAAAATTAGGGGTACCATTTTGGGGGTCCCAATAATACGGACTATAGTATTTTGGGGTCTTTTTGGGGGTCCCCTTATTTTGGGAAACTACCATCTTGCAACTATAAGATTGGAGCTTGAACATCACCTAGGCGCAACCATTATTAGAGATGTACACAGTCGTTGAAGGGTAGTGCAGACGGCCTCGAACATCTTGACGCGAACTTGCAGCTGCTCGCCGGTGGTAAGGTGCCTCCCAATCTCAGCTCCGTCCTGGGAGTCAAGCTAAAAGAGCAATTTTTGAATTTCTCAGCCGCGGCCGTTTCTCAACAAAGATTCGCTGGTATTTTTTCACACTCCGCTGGACCCCTGTGTTGCAGGCCGCGCGCCGGATTCTGAGCCTATGTCCATTTTTTGCACTAGGTGCGACTTCCACATAACTCCTCCACATGCACTGGTACTTCTTGATGCAATCAGGCTTCGGGCCCCTCAACTTTACTTTAGGATACCCACAGACCGTTAAGAAAGTCCTGCCCGGTGCTGGCCCAGACCGGCCAAAACACCTGTCAAGATATCGGGGGACTGATCTAAAGGTCTTTTGAGGAAATTGTTTAGGGATTTTCGGAAGGCATTTTGGGGAACGGGAATCTTCATCAATCGCCATGTGCTGGCACTTGTACGTAGCTCCTACTGATGACGTTGAGGCATAGCTCTTGCTTCTGCATTTGCAGGAATCGAGTCAGCCAAACATGTGGCGGGATATATCGGCATTTTCGTGGTTAAACCAAGTAACATCATATTCCTTCTACAAAATACCATACCCCAAACGGAGCATGTAATCTTACTCTGTCTTGGGTATCAACGAATTTTGCGTGAAGGAGCTTCTGGAACGATTCTAGGAGTCATGTTGATTCCCAGTCTTCCTTGGCATTCCCTACAAGTTGACTCTTGGAAAAGAAGAGATATAGTAAGCATGTGATATGTCACCTCCCCGAAATTTCTGCGGAAACCCATGCAGGCCCGTTTACAGGAGTCGTTCTGCGCCCTTGTGGACTTGGATGCTGGCTTTGGGGAGACCCTATAAACCCTAAGCCTCTAAACCCCTAAACCCACAGTGATCACCAGATTTCGGCTTGGACCCTGCAGGTTGGACACCTGCGTTTCTGTTCTTTGAGTTCCCGTCAGGGGGAATGTATGGGACCTGGGATCTTTGCTGGGTTGTTGTTATTGGTCAATTACCATAATATTGGGTATATAACAAGTAACAGGGTTTCATCATCATAGTACTTTATTCAGACTCCTGAACAGCCACGACTGCGCTAAGCCCTAAATCCCTAAGTCCCAGGTCCTAAACATCCTAGCCCCTCAGCCCTGAACCAATGCCTGTGGCCAGTGGTTCTCGCTGCGGCCAGGTCGTGACGACACGTGATGCCTTCCTGCCTTGTCCAGGTGAAGCTCCCACCATACCTGGGGGCTCAGGGTTTAGAGTTTAGGGTTTAGCACTGAGCCCATGGATCTGGAAAGGGCCTTATACAGGTTAGGTAGGGGGTATATAATACGGTGTATATATATATTCATCTAGGGATATATCATAAGGGTTTAGAGTTTAGGTGTTTCGAGACTGAGGCATAGTACACCAGCAGTAGAAAATAAACAGGAAGAGTGGACAATGAAAGGGAAACTGAGGTCGCATGGCGGCCTATGCGGCTTCCAAAGCCAGGAGGCCGAATATAGACCCCCAAATACTATGTTCATTATTCTCAGCACCCTCAAAAAGAGATCATGGGATGTAGGCTAGGGGTTTAGGGTTTCTGGGTTCAAATTGCAAAGGTTTCAGGGCTCTAGTTAGGAGTGTAGATGTAAGGGTTTCGGGGCTTGGGTATGGGGATCGGGGTTGCAACAATCTGCTCTCTCCGGTTTCGGATGTGCATGTACATCCCGGGCAAAAGAATCTTAAGGAGCCACAAAGTTTTTTGACCGGGCAGGGGTGTGTACATGAATCTGAAGCTGTCATGGATGCCCTCGGTTAGCTGAACCCTGGAATCAGGAAGATGACAGGGCCTTCTGCTAGACTGCTACACTACCTTGAAACTAGGGCATCTGCTCCTGTGGCTACAGGACCCTCTGATTTCAAGACTTCCTGCGCAGGCTTTTCTAAAGCTTGTGGAAACCACAGGTTAAGGACAGCTGAGGTGTAAGTTTGGGGAGGAACCTTTGGCATGGATAGGCACCCCAACAGCTGTGAATCACAGACATCATGTCCCTGAGTTCAATTGGGGGTTTCCCAAGATTAAGGGTATCTTATTGTCCCTATACTGAGGATTGTAGTATGTTGGGGTCTATATTGGGGTCCCCTTCTTTGGGAAACTACCCATTCTGCATGAGTCAAGAAAACACCCTTCCTCACCTGTTTACGACTATTGCTGCTGAAGCAAGCAAGGAGCAACCACGGCATGAACGATTCCTTCCGATGCCATCTTCATGCTGACGGATCCGACATCGCACTGGTCTAGCCTTTGGCAACTGCGGGGCTTCCAAGCACTAAATGGTGGTTTCCATGTTCTGTTCCATTTTCCTATTTAACCCTATATAGCCCTCTATAACCCCTAGGCCCTAGACATCCCTTAGTACCCCTATATGATCCCTATTCTTCTCCCTTCGCGTATCTTCTGGGAATGCAGGCCGGATCCAACCAAACTTTATGCTGGACCTTCCAGAGACGGCAGGATCTTGCCTCTTGCGGTTCGGGGTTTAGGGTTACAATAGGCTGTAGACATGTATATAGGAGTTCTATAGGGACAATGGAAAAGAAAATGGCATCTACTGTATTGTTTTCGGGCTCACATTACTGGTGGTTAGTAGGGTTGCTCTTAAGGAATTGAGTTTAAGTTATCAAAATATGAGGGAAAAAGGTAATCATCACGTTTCCTTACATCAGCAATTTAAACAAAGCTCCTTAACAGCAACCCAGTAGAAGGCCCCCGGCCCCCCAGGCTAAGCATACACATTCCATACTTATGGGAGTTTCCCAAATTAGAGGTAGCTTTTTGGGATCCCTATATTGGGGTCCCCCTAATTGTGGGAAACTACCTTATGGAAACTGCCATTTCTACCTGAACTCCCATAATACCCGGGTGTACCTTGCGGCCCGGCCCCTCAAAGATAAAAACTCGTTTCATATGAGCCGGACAGCTGCCCTGCATACCCGGGTAAGCAGGCCATGGCTTAGAAATTCCATCTCCTCCAGCCTTCGGCTGAAGCCGTGTATGCCCAGCCTACACATGGGCGTCTTTCCATGAGGTGCCTGTACAAACCCTTCATGGAAACCCCTTCACTTCTCCGATGATCCCATCTGTTCCCTTCGAGTTACCCCAAACCCGAAACCTTAAGCCCTACCCCTCTTGAGAAACTTCCACATCAAACGCAATCCATATGGTGCCTGCGTCTAGATCAGGATGCGACATAGCAAGCCATGTGACCAGTCTACCACCCATTCACAGCACCCAAGTCATATCCACGGCGCCATTATTGCGAAAAGGGGTTCACATAATACGGCAACAGAGGAGTCTACCAAATCTGGGATACCTTTGAGCGCCCAGGGGTTGTGTTCTATGTGTCTCTAACCCTCATCCCTGAACCCTAGACCCATGGGAATCAAAATGGATCATGGGAGGCCTCCCTATTCCGGATCATGGGGTCTGTTTTGGGAAATCCCGCATGCCAAATGGCGAACTCGGGGCAAGCAGCTGCTTCTGCATCTGCTCGAGGCTGTCGAAACAAATCTCCAAAAGCTCACACGGCTCACTTAAAGCCTTGGTCCTTCATTGTTGTAGGTAGGGCTTAGGGTTCAGGGTTTAGGGTAACTACCTGGACCCCCGAAATATGTAGTGTAGTGGCCTTTTGGACCATGGTTAAGGGTTTATGGCCATTATGTTACCTATCTCTTAGGTTGATGTAAATTGGAGAAGCATTATTCGTTTCGGGTGACCCTAAAAGAAAAAACACAACAACACAAAACAAGACTAGACCAGCGAACCCAGAGACAGTGTGCTCCAGGCCATCCAGGAACTCGCATAAGTATCCAGGGCGAAGGCTTCGATCAACATCCGGGAGGTTGAAATGGGAATCACCAGAAACCTAGAGTCCCCTTAAGTAGAAAGGAAGGGGGTAAGTAGATCAGGATCTTATCATGCTTTTGGGAAGTTCCATAGTCAATCTACATAAGAGGGACCATAAGTCATTCTGGGGACAATAGTGATGAAGTACGTTTCAAGGACAAGGAGTATGGCACCCAAAGAACCATATGCAAAGGTTGGCAAAAAAGTAATATCATGAAACAAAGCCATAAAAAACTTGTTTTAAGTGGGCCCAGCAACACCAAATCTTTGCTGCCTCACGTCATGCAGTACATGATAACTACAAATTGTATTCATAGCGTCTAAACATACTATAGCCTGTTCTGTTCACGAAACGTCCCAGGAGGCGTTGAGCTTTGTTGGGTGTTGCAACTGTCTTCAGCTACAGGATTCACTCTCTGCATCCTAATGCTCCTTGCTATCGTAAGCTCGCATTAGGCATTCAACGCAACGGTCGCAGCAGTTAGCGTACCTGTGCTCTGTTGGTATCACCTAGTTACCCGGCAAGGTGCAGACTGCATGATGAAACAGAAGAGAATTTTTATTGTGGGTGAACCTAAGTTTGGAAACACCAACAATTCTTGTCAAATTGCTATATAAACCCACTTTCGATGTCACTCTCATGTATCTCGAAGTTGGTTCTCCGTTATCGGGAGAATGTCCCATAATCTGCATATAACCCCCATGTAACCTTCCGGGAAAACCTCCAGGGAACCTAAACCTCATCTAGCGTGTACTCCTGAGCTGTCAGTGGCACTTAGCCTCACACCTCCCCAACCAAGTATAGACTCCATGGCTATCTGCACAGAAATCCAAGGTCTCACATCTTTGGCCCTAAACCCTAAACCCCACCTTAAACCCTGAACCCTAAACTCTAAACCCTGAACCCTAAACCAGTAGGGCAACTGTAGTTCTAAGCTGTGAGCAAGCCACAGGGCGGGGCAGTGCAATAACTGGCCGTAGACTGTGGCGCTGCATGGAATGAGCCTGCCCTCCGGCTTCAGGAGCCTTCCACTAACGAGAGGAGTTGGGAACCACCAAAAAGAGCTTCAGGGGCTGTCAGGGTTTGAAAAACCA